CATTCCCTTGTTTTTTTTTTAGCGCCAACACCTTAAATGATCACGAGCTGCTGGAATCGTGTTAAACGGGCCACAGGCCGTTGGGTACATACTCCATACGGATAACAGGGCGAAAGACTAACGGGCCGCTAGGAATGAACGTCTAGACGGACACCTTGACAAACGAGGTGGGCCAAAACCTGCTCCGATACCATGTCAAGGAACCAATTCAACCACAAGCTCAATCTTGTGTTTGTGGCCCAGGAACAGATACTTATACTCTAACACTTTCTTTTGATATTTGGAAATGTGCTCATTCATTTTTAGTTTCTTGCTGTCTGTCTCAAAAATTTCTAGAGCACGGTCTTTTGCAAGATGATTGTCAATGAGTATGCTTTGAAGATGGGTTGGACAGCACCTACTTATACCATGAATGAGTCAAATGCACCAATTCCCACATTTATATCTTCATTGGTTCTAAATGGTGTTGCTTATGTTGGAGATGTGGCAAGAAGTAAGAAAGAAGCAGAGCAATCAGCTGCACGCTCAGCTATATTATCAATTCTAGGTCAATATTACAACCCAATAAATAATTATTTGTTTGCATATTTCTTCACAAATACAAGTTTATCGAGCCATTCTGACATATATAGTCATTGCTGCAGAGTCTGAATCTAGCACTACTATGTCCGAGATAGTCAAGTCCAAATATAAGTTATATGACCCTGGGATGGGCCCCACTCATGGTAGTGGCATAACTCCCTCAGTCAATAAGAAGAGAAAAGAAGTTGATGTTAGTGCAGGCAATATTGCTACTGGTCCTTTTGCTCATATTCCTCCCAGTGCTCAAATGATGCATCCACAGTTCAAGAAGCCTACAACTGGAACTCCGATTGAACTCGTTCCAGTTCCTCTAATTCAATTTGTGCCTGCATCTTGGGAACAAGGTGTGGTAAGCTCGGTCTCTGGGCAGATGAAAAATCAAAAAAATAAGAAGAAGAAGAAGAAAAAGAAAGTTGAATGCTAGTTTCTCTTTGTGCGAGTTTTTCACATGTTTCTTGCTGCAAATCCACTAACTGGGTTTATTCAGTTTTCTCTTGACTCTTTGATCTGTAAAAGATTAAATGTTTTTCTGTTTATTGTAGTTGGTCAATCCTATCAATGCCCTCCTTGATTGCATTTCTGAAAAAGTAAATTACTATATTTTCATAACTTGCTGTCATTTTTTACTAGTAAATCTTTTACTCCCAAGTTTGCCTACACACATGATCTAAAAGACATCAGCCTTGTGCCCTTGTCTGCCTATGCAACTTGTCTAGGTGTGCCGGAGCAAGCTTTGAGGCATTGTTATGTGCAATGGATATCAGGTAAGTGCATAAACTGACACTGTTTTACATTACCTGTCTGCTTGTTCTTTTGGGTTTGTTTGAAATTAAATTTTCGTTTTCATATTCAATAAAAGAAATTATGATAAATTGTACGGAGTATAAAATATCTTAGAGGCCGAACATAAGTTATATTGACATTAATGAGTGACAAACTCATTTGAAAGAGTTATTTGATTTATAGACTTATTTCTTAGAGTAAATTCTCAAAATGATACTCAACATTTTTATGTTTTCCCAGATTAGTCTCTAAAATTAACTAATTACCGAGATGGTGCTCGTTAATTAAAAATAATGTTCAGTTCATCCTTCGACTAACGGCTGTTAAAACAACGTTACAGTAACATTAAACCTTATACTAATTTTTAAAAATGGTTTCTAATTGAGTGTTTTTTGAAATAAGTCCATTATCAAAATAAAAAGATAATAAATATGGAAAAATATTTTAAATTTTATAGTGAGAATATAATAATAAACACTATAAATATAATTTTATAAATATGAAAGTAAACATTTTAAATTCTTTACAATTATTTAGAAGAATATCATGTAAGTAAAATATTGAATAAACGTTAAAAAATTACCCTATATAGGAGCAAAAACGTTGAGAAAATACAAAAATAGGAGCTCTTTCTTTATTTGCAAACAAATGTTTACTTTCAAATTTATAAAATTATATTTATAGTTATTGTGCCAAGAATCAATAGCTCGAGCGGAATTTTAACATCATCAGTTCCATCAATTACTTGCCCAAGGTTTTCATCTCCGACGTTGAATATCCAACAAGAAAATATTTGTGTGTCCTTATCTAGCACAAGATGACATAGATGAATACAATTTCATATTCTTGGTTATGGTATAAACTTTACAATACGACCGTAATTTTGAAGAATTGACGGTAGCCCCTAGAAATTCCTCTCTCAAAGCTCTGGGTAAAATTAGTAGAATTTGATAAAAATTGTCTCTGAGTACAACGGTTTTCCTTCCAAATGTTTCTTTTCTGGAGCTATTATCAATGAACCTCATTACATCTTTCATTGTATGATCCAAAGTCTTAAAAGCGAATTTAACCATCATACATGTTTCATCCTATATGATTAGACATGCTTGTTGGATTAGCTCTCCTTCGGGCTTCCATGTTTGATGGCACACGTTTAGCACTCGGTTAGTGCTGGATGGATTGAGAATCTTGAGTGTGTTGTCCTTCCCACAAGAAAAAGCAATGTTACAATGTCACTGAATGTGACATTCAACACAACCTTACCATTTGACCTTAGAGAAGTGACTGATTTCAAATAAATGTTTTTCCAATTCTACCGTAATCATACACAAAAAATAAATCTCTTCTTTTAGCTATCACGACTTCCATTATTTTGTCGTATATCTTCCTCTAATCTTCATTCGTCGAAAAACTATCCTCTAAGATCGGATTACAAATTTTCTTTGTAATTTATTTAAAATCTTCTATTGAGTGGATTGTCATCGGAAAATGACATGTCATGGAATTCCTTTAAAGACTTCCCATTTGAATTAAGCAACTTTTAATTCTCAATCTAAAAGATACCTTGGACTAGGGGTATCCAACCCAATAAAAAAGTAATGACCAAATACAAGGCCCATCTAGCCGCGGGGAGTTGGATGCGCTTGGCAAAAGGCACCTTACTCGGCTGAGCAAGACTAGAAGAAACCAAGCTCTCAAGATGGAAACCACACTTGGACAAGCATTTGTACTCAGCCCTGCAGTACGTACTCGGGCCCAAGGGTATAGTTGGTCGTACTCGGCCAGACCCAGACAAACCATCACTCAAGCTATGGTCTAACGACAGAATCGTGTGCTCAGCCTCGGCCAACGAAGGAACAACACAGTACCATCATTTTCTTTGGGTCCTGTACGCCCTGTCTACTCTACGGGCCCACTCAAGGACATCTCTGGTACTGTTCGTATGTACATCATTCGTAATTATGTTGTTTGTAATTACACAACTTGTATTATTAGTCTAAGATCCGATTCCAGTGAGCCCTAGCCCACTAGGTCGTGTCCTAAACAACGGCCAGGAGACACATGTACATGAAAAATGTATTGTATAAATACCCCTCCCACTTCGGGAAAGGCGGACACGTTCCCTGCTATGTAAATATACTCCCTCTACACTCTTACGACCGAAGGCACTCCGCCCTTATTTTATACTCTCTTGCCTAGTCTTCTAGGCCCGAGTTCTAAAACACATCATTGGTGCTCTCGTTGAGAGTTTCGGACACATCAAGCGTGTTCCTTCGAAGATGGTTGCTTCAAGAAGGTTCACAAGGTTGTCCACTACCACCAATGGTGGTGGCATCAAAATGACTGTGACGACACCTACTAACACATGCTAGGACGACCTGGACATCAGCTTGAACGATGTCTTTAGCCAACACACCATTGACCACTGTCAACGCATTCCGTGGTAGAGAATGACAGACGGAGAAGGCCTCCGACATCCCATCCAGCAAATACCGGCTCTGGGGGGCTGGTATGTAGGGATGTAAACAAATCAAATATTTTGAATTCGATTTGTGATTTGTATTCGAATATGATGATTCGAATTCACATTATTCAAAGACAAATTCATATTCAAATATTATTTTTGATTCGAATATTAAATAAATACAAATACAAATAGGAATATATTCGATTCGATGATATTTGAATATTCGAATATATGTATATACACACAGACCATGTTTTCAACATCAATAGTCAAGGAAACTAATATAGTATAAAGTGCATTTAAATGACTAAGAATTCGACATATAAATGTCACACAGAAATCTAAAGCATATGATTTTTCATAGTTATATTTTATAAAATATAATTTGTGTAAGATGCAAATGTATTGATGTTTTTAGATACAACATATAGTATAGTGTAAGGAGTATCGTAAATTACAAATCGATGTTGGTCCATCATATAAATTACAGAGTATGATTATTCAAATATTCGTTTAGGATTCATAAACTGTTTGAATATTAATCAAATACATATTCAAATCTTATTTTGAATTCGTCTCATGTTCGGATTTAGATTCGTATTCGAAAAAATTAAACAAATACAAATTCAAATATCTTGTTATTCGCTTCAATTCGGTTTGTTTACACCCCTACTGGTATGGTGACCTAATAGACTGGATTAATGATTCGCGACATGGGGATGATGCTTCCAGGTGCATCATCAACGCACCGCTTATCCAATTTGGCAAGACGTCGGGTATTAGAACCCTCTACATGGATCCTACCAGTTTGTGGCCTATGATGAGGGCCATGATGATGAACTAGTCCATGATGGGTTTCCAGACACCAATTTCCATGCATCAGCCGACGACGTTTTTGCATGAAGGACAACGAGAGGATTCGCAAAACATGGTAGAGAACACTGTTTTTTTCACCTCCTGCATGGGCCTGATGGTGGATGGACGCATGGACAAGGAAATAGGCTAGCCTCAACATAAGTAGGGCACCAGCTAAACCCCAAGGAGCCGGTGGCAAGGAAGCAGGCAAGCTACAGGGAGATGGAAGAAACAGGGAGATGTCGCCAACCCCTGAAGGAGGGTCAAGACAAGAATGAATTGCACGTATTCATGTTTAGCCAGATGCGTGTGCCAGCTAAGTATCGGCTACATGGATGAAAGAAAACCATCGTAGGTGACCGAGCTCGAAAGATAAGGATGCCTTGCGAGGAGGAGCTATGTGAGCGTCACTAGGATGCACAAGCTGGAAAGTTTGTACCTTAGACTGAACAGCTTATCCACGATCTTTTATTACGGGCACTGTAAGAGGAACCTGAATGGGCAGACAAGGGGGGATGATCGCCCTAAGGGACGAGCGGATTAAATTCCTATTGCAAAGGATAGACGTGTTTGAGAGGAAGAACGAGCGTGGCTACGCTCTAGAGCCAACTTTCAAACTCCGGTGTCCTTTCTCCGAAAAGGTGATGAGGGCTCCACTACCGTATAATTTCCAAATGCAAATCATGCCCAGGCACGATGGGATGACGGGTCCCCAAGATCACTTCAAACGATACTAGACCCTCATGAACGGCGTAACGTTCTTAGAAGAAGTCCTTTGCAGATCTTTTCTAGAAACCATGGATGGCTTGGCCTAGGAGTGGTTCAATGAACTGCCAGAAGTCAAGATTGATTCTTGGGAAGATTTGGCCCGCAAATTCTTGACGAGCTTCGCGGCCAACACAAGGAAGAAGACCGCTGAGGAACGACTGCCCACATCCTCAGGGCATCGTTATAAGAAGGGAAGAGACCAGCAGGATTGGAGACCTCATGGGAAAGACCACTACGAAGACAGGACTCATGAGGACAGGAAGCCATCTCCATATTTCCCACCTTGCGGCCCCAAGCCGGTTGCACCAGAGGGGCTCACACCGTTGACGCATTCCGTCAGCACGGTCCTAGACTACGCTGAGCACCAAGGCCTAGTGGAATATGATCCCAGCATTGCTCCAGCCTATTCCGTTGATAACAGCCCTTACTGCGGGTTTCATAGAGCGCCGCGCCACGACACGGGCAATTGTAAGATTCTCGAGCACGAGATTGGGAATCTAATCTTGGCAGGGTACCTAAGCCAATTCATCAAAAAGAGGAATACTTGGCGAAAAGACGGTGTGAAGAAGCCAGTGGACAACCGCAGTAAGAAGGCGGCAGAGGCACCGCCAAAGAGGAAGGAGATCGGCTTTCCAAGTGACTAAGAGGAAGAAGCTCCACTCAAGCAGAAGAGGATGGAGGAGAATCAGATAAATACGGTAGCAACACGGGAGGGGACTCTGTTAGAATAAGTGACCAACGCTAGAGGGGGGGGGGGTGAATAGCGTTTGATAGTAGAAATCACATGAATAAAAAATTAGGAACGTGAAAGATAAAGAGCGTAGAAAGCGTAAAGGGAGCACACCAAGATTTACCCTGGTGCACCACAACTTGTGGCTAATCCAGCCTCCCGAGAGACTCTCTCGAGCTACACTACTTCCGTTAAGCTTACGGGTGCTTAACAAACCGTTACAACCTGAGAACTCGAGTCCCACGAGCCTCAACAACACTTGCTCGGAGATACCGCACTCCAAGACTTCAACCCGAAGGAAAATACCTTTCCTTTGTACAACCAAGGGAAACAAGCTTCTCTTAACGTGTATACAACACTAAGACACTCAAGAACAAGGCTCTCTTTTAGAGTAGATGTTGAGTAAACTATATACGCTCAAGAACAACTCAAACTTCACAAATTGGCTCTAGAAAGATATGGAAAATGATGTTGTTTTAATGCAATGATAATATGAATAATGTGAAGTTAATTGATAAGAAAAGCAGACCCAAACACTCCTTTTTATAGTGCAAAAATAGGCTCCAACGGACCAATGCATTAAAGAGGTGATTGGCTTGATTTATGGGATTGAAAAGATTTGGGATCTGCAGGATATTGGCTTCCCATCGATGTTTGGGACCGCTTATCCATCGATGGGAAGATTTTCCCATCGCTGGTTGGGTGGTTAGCCAAAACCCCATGGTCTTTGCCTTAACCACAGCCTAGCCAACTAATGCAAAAACTGACCGAAAAATCCAAAGTTCTCCAAAATAAAAACCAAGTGTTTGAAACACTTATTTGATGTATTTGGCTAAGAAATCAAGTGAGTTACTTTAAAAACCACGTCATTTGAGTAAAAAACCACGGCTAGCCAAGTTTACGCCGTTTTGCGTGGTTTTTGTCAAACGACCTAAAGCGAAAGATGGTTTTCAAAGTGTTTTTGTTGGAGAACCGTTTAAACATGCCAAATAGTGAAAGAAGATCATAAAATTCTGAAAACCACTTGGTTGGTTCGGATGCCAAAAACCAAAGCCGATAACCGAAAGCCGAACGCTGGTTTCTGAAAGCCGAACACTGGATGGCTTGGTTTTTGGTTTGGGCGGACACCAAGTGTTTTTAATGACTTAAACAAGTTTGAAACGCATTTTTATGATTTAAGAAATGCAATGAGAGATTTTAGCCTAAAGAGCCAAGGTGTAAAGATTGGGTCGGTCTTGATCACAATAAAGACCGACTCAATACTATGACTAAGGTCTTCGTTCTTGGTCTTCGTTTAGCTCTTGCTCTTATCTTCGTTCTTCGCCTTGTATATTCAATGTTCGACTTGATCACGGCGGTTTGGCATTATCAAAACCTGTCATAAGAACAAACACGGCTTTAGTGCGAAAAATGTGACAAGCCCGTGTTTCAACAATTTCCCCCTTCTTGATAATGACAAACGAGATGAGGTTATGCATATGAGGATTGTTTTTACACTTAAAAAAAATGTTCCCCCTTAATAGATGCCATTTTTATTTAAAAACAATTCCTCCTCAATTTATGCATAACCTTGATATCTTCCCCCTTTTGACATTAACAAAAAGAATTAAAAGTGAACTTTAGAGTTTAAAAGTAATATTTTATTCATTAAAAAGGGAAATGCGGAATACAACGGAATGGAAATAAAAAAAATACAATCATAGTAAGAAGAGAAGAGAAAAGAAGAGTCTAGGCATCGGCGTCCTCGTTCTCGGCGTCATCGTCTTCTTCGTCGTCCTCAACGTCTATGGGATCCCCGTCGACCGCGTCCTCAAAGTCGGCTTCGTTGGGGGAGGAGGACGGAGCATAGGAGTTATCCTCCTCGTCCTCGCCTTCATAGTTTTGGCCAAGGAAGGTGGTGTCAAACGACGGCGGGACGTAGTTGATGCCACGGAAGAACGCCGTCATGTCATGGTGTTGACATTGCAGCGTCCAATCCATCCGCTCCATATACTGCCCCATGTCGTCCACCGTGAGGGTTAGCCGATTTAGAGTATCGGCTATGGACTGCAATGAGGCCCAGGCGGGAGCGGGGGCAGGTGCACGGGCGGGGACACGGGCATGACTCGGTCCGGCGTCGTCTCGGTCTCCGGACTTCTTCCGCAAGGTGCTGTCTTGAATGACCCAAATCTTCGTCATCTTTGTATTTGGTCCGGCGATGTGGATGTCGGAGGCGACAATGATGTCCATGACGAGGAAGACGTACGGCAAGCTCCGCTCGGTGGCGAGTGAGGCACAATCCGCCATGTGTACCATGACAAATTTTGCCCAATTGATGGAGGCGCCGTGGATGATTGCGTGAATCGCCTTCAAATCCTCGTTGAAGAGCGAGGTATGGCTTCTGTCCCGGGGGCGAAGAATCTGGGTGATGATGTAGAGGAGGAGGCGCTTGGTGATCCCTAGATCTCGGATGACCACTGCCTCGTTGTTGAGGATCCAATCGTCGCCACCGTATGTTGCGATGTCATCGCCTAGAATGGGCAGCCCTGCGATCCGTGCAAAGGTCGGCAAGTCAATCTCTATGTCGTAGAGATTGATGCTGTTGCGGATGGTGTCCCCATCCCGGTGGAGATTTGAGTAGAAGGCTCTAACGAAGGCGGGATTGTAGGACTGACGGCTCTTGGAGACGAACGACCACAGACCCGACGCTTGAAGCTGATTGTCAAGGTCGTGGTACCCCTTTTGTTGAGGGTACAACTCGGGCAGCACCCTAAGCAGAGAAATGGGACGCTTGGCAAAGTGTGTGAGGAACTGGTTGAGTTCCTCCTCCGACCCGAACTCCAAGAAAGACCCATCAAGATAGGGGAATGGCTTAGGCGCAGAGCTTGAAGCTTCGGCGGTGACCTTCTTCTTGGAAGCCTTTGATTTTGATTTTCCTCCGGCCATGATTGAAGCATTTTTGAAGAAAGATTGATGAAATAAGTGGTATGGGCTAAAGAAATGAAATAATGATGTTAATTGTGTGTTAAGAAGGTAAGGGATGATGTGAATATATAGGGAGAGGAGGAAAAAAACGTGTGAATTCAAAAAATATGGTTGTTGGGCATTAAATTCGGTGCCCAACGGCCATAATTTTTGAACTTCAACAGCCTTCCCAGCGATGGTAGGAACTACCTACCGATGGGAGGGTCGCTACTGGAAAGCGAGGAGAAAAGTAATGCTGCCTTCCCAGCGATGGGTAGATCTTCTCATCGATGGGAAGGAGGCTTCTAGAAATCCGTTAAAAGGTTTTTTAAAAAATAGTGTCAAACACCCAGCGATGGGATGAAGTGCCCATCGATAGGTTGGGAGGTTCTGAAACAAAAGCAAGCACTAACCCAGCGATGGGATAAACTACCCATCGATGGGTAAAGGTGTTCTGAAAATCTGTTAACCATTTTTTTTTTTAAAAAATAGAGTCAATAACCCATCGATGGGAGGAAGTTCCCATCGATGGGAAGAGGGGTTTTGAAAGCAGGAAGCTTCCCTCCCAGCGATGGTATAACCCATCCATTGCTGGTTCCCCTGACTTCCGGATTTCTTCACTTTGGACCGTCCCTGCAAAAAAGAACAACACTTTGGTACCCAAAGTAAGTCTTTGGGTCCTTGGGGGTTAGTTTACCTTTATTGCCCACACTCACACCCAAAATATGTTTCCATATGCGCGCGCACACACACACACGATTAAATGATTGTTTAAGAGTTACCTTGGCCAACCCATCGTCTCGTGGTTGGCGGGTTTTAATCTACCTGAACGGTGTGATTTGTGTTGGTTCCGGTAACGGAATGTGGACATTTTTCTTTTCGTCAAAGTAGAAGAAATAATAAGGTTTCTTTTGTGCATTGTCCTGTGGAGATTGTTTATGATTCGAATATCCTTTTCCAAAGGATTTCTTTTCATTAGCACCAAATACGTTGTGTGTTTCATTGTAGGTGAAGTGCCTATGTCTGGTGAAACACACGGGAGCTATATGTCCTACCCTATTGCAATAGTGGCATACTACGTTTGGGTTGAACATGTGCCTAGGTTGATAATANTCTTTTCGTCAAAGTAGAAGAAATAATAAGGTTTCTTTTGTGCATTGTCCTGTGGAGATTGTTTATGATTCGAATATCCTTTTCCAAAGGATTTCTTTTCATTAGCACCAAATACGTTGTGTGTTTCATTGTAGGTGAAGTGCCTATGTCTGGTGAAACACACGGGAGCTATATGTCCTACCCTATTGCAATAGTGGCATACTACGTTTGGGTTGAACATGTGCCTAGGTTGATAATAGCTAGGGGGCCTAACCATGTTTGTCCTATTTTGTGAAAAGGATGGTTTATGCATGTTTTCAAAAAGATTATTTCTAGGTGTTCTCATATTGTCTCTTCTATTTTGAGAAAAATTATTTTTATGAACAAAATCATTTTGATAATTTTTCTTAGCTTGTCTACCATGAACATTTTCATTCCTAGGTTTTTGTCTAGGTTGTCTAGCGTTCTTAGATTGACTAGGTTTTCTATAAACTTGATTTTTAGCTTTCTTACGTTGAGCCTTGGGAGGTTGTCTAGGTGTTTTCTCAACGCTTTCTTTATCCCTAGCTTTGTTTTTATTAAAACCTATTCCTTCTTTAGAAAAGTGCATAGTATCAAGGAGTAGATTAAGGTCTTTGTGAGGAGTATTAAATTTCTTAACTGTATTCTCAAGTTTTGTGACTTGTTCTTTCAAAGCTATGCAAGTGTCACAATGTTTCGTAGAGCTCTCGGGTTTGTCGGTGCTTCTTTTACCATAAAACTTATTTTCCTCTTTTAGTTTTTAGTTTTCCTTTTGAAGTTTTTCAAGATCAGTTTCAAGATTAAAAAACGTTTCTTCAAAGCTTTGTTTGTTTTAGAAGCGCTAACAAACTCGTTATAAAGCTCTTGGAGAGCTTCTTGCATTTCTTCAAGAGAATAAGAAACAGTAGAAGAATTACATACCTCTTGGTTTTCGCCGTTGTCGGACTCCTCTTCTTCTTGAGCTATGAGACAAAGGTTTGCTTCTTCGTCTTCCTCTTGCTCGCTTGACTCATCGCCAGAGTCGCCACCCCAAGAGATGTATGCTTTTTGCTTTTTGAAGTGACGAGCATTCCTTCCACTTCTTGGGCATTTGTTCTTGATGTGCTCGGCTTCACCACATCAATAGCACACAGGGCCATCCTCAACCTTTTCTTTCTTCCTTAGAAGCTTGCAAAACTTTTTCATGACAAGCTTGACTTCATCATCGTCGCTTGAGTCATTCATCGTTGGTTCTTTGTGTTGGAACACACTTTGTACGATAAACTAAAGTCGTGCTCATTTCTGACAGGTTTTGATAATTGCCAAACCGCCGTGGATATAAAGAGTTTTGTTGAATAACTCAAGGCGTGAAGAATGGCTTGGAACAAGACCTAAAAGACTCAAGGACAAGATCAAGAATTGAAGACTTAGTCGAGTCGATCTTTTGTGATCAAAACCGACAATAAATTCAAGTCTCGGTTCTCAAAAAGTCAAAACAATTTTTACAAATCATAAAATATTTTTTGTGCATCAAAACAATCATTTTTGATGATTCCTTTTATTGTTAAAATCCCTGGTCCTTGCTCAGAACCAAAACCACCTAAGTCGGCGTTCGGCTTTCGACGTTCGGCTTTCGGCGTTCAGTTTTTGGCGCCCGAACCAACTCCGTGGTTTTCAATATTTTAAACCCTGTTTTTACCTCTGAGCATTTTTAAAATGTTCCCAAATAATTATTTTATAAAAACCACTTTTGTATCTTGGTCAATCGGTCTAACACGTGAAAAACGGTCTAAACCGTACGCACGTATTATACGACCTTGGAGACTTGAGTTTTACCAAACAAGTCTTGTTTTCACTGTTTTATACCATATACAATATTTTCCAAACCTGGTTTTTACTTTTGGGAACACTTCGTTTTTGGACCTTGGTTTTTCAAAACGGGTTTCAGCTGGCTAGACTTTAGCTGGGTGATAATCCATTATCACCTTAGTGACAATCGACTATCAGCCCCTGCAGCTTTGAACTTCCAAAGTTCTGAAGCACGCCATAATCGATTGTCACTTATGCAATAATCGATTATCAGTCTTTGCAGCCAAAATCTAGAATCTTCTAAGAGGACCAATAATCGATTATCACTTGTTGACAATTGATTATCTAGGTTACCGTTGTCCTCCAACGGATAGAATTTTAAATTTTTGGACAGGGAATCTTTGGATAATCGATTATCAAGCTTTGATAATCGACTATCAGCCTGTGTCCCTGAAAAATTTGTCTTCATCCTGTTGGAAATTCTAGCAACGGGTTTATCCCATTTTGGGCTATAAAATGGCACCCAAATCCTCTCATTTTACACACAATTCTTCAACATTTCAATACTCCTTCATTGCATAAGCATTCCTATTTTTCTTAGCTATTTGAGAGCCAATTCTTGAAGAAATTGTCGTGTTCTTGAGCGTTTACTAGTTCACTCATATCTACTCTTTGTGAGAGTTTTATTCCTGAGTGTTTAAGTGTTTTCATACACTTTAAGGGAGGT